TCCCAATACAATTACATTTTGTAAAAACAAATGAGAGGTACAGCACAAGCTAAGAAAGCACATTTGAGATAACAGCTTATGCGCAGGTCTGCTGCTCTTAACACAGCATGGGAGGTGACTGTCTCAGCTCTCTGCATTAGTAAAGACCAGATCATTATGATCAGCTAACACACACAGACCCAACAGTATCAATGACACCAATGTTGAATGTTCCCTCTAAAATGGGAAGCACAGGCTCCAAACTGTGTGAAGAACATTCACAGCTTTCCCTTCAAATCATTGTGTTCTCTCACAGGAAAAGGCAGTGTTTAAATAAAATGAAGGTTATATTGAAGACAAGAGTGTAAGAAGCAGCTCAGAACCATTGTAGTATCACGAAAACTGAAAATTTTCTGACGTGCATGTGGCAGTTAAGCACTTGCATTAATGCCTTTGAAACCCCTTATGAAGGCAACTAGGTTCCCTTTTATTTTCATAGACTAGAAAAATCTCCATATAAAAGGCTATCTGAACACTTTCTGAAAAAAATCTAAAATATCAGAAATCCTGACATGCTTTAAGTCTAAGAGTCTGAAATAACTACCAGAACAACTGGAGATGAACTACATATAGTTAAAATCTTACAGATAAGGCAAAGGTTGAATCTCTAATTTGAATCTGTGACAAAAGTTACTTCAGAGGATTATGAAACAGAAACAAATTTTCTATACTGATATATAATTAATATCTAATAAAAGGTTAATCAGCCAATATTACAATAGTAATATTACCATAGTAATATTGCAGCCATGACAGTCTACTGTTACAAGAGAAAACTGATAGATTACCGTAGCCACATAAACCCAAAGAACACACACAAAAGCATGTCCTTTTCTTCTACCTAATGGAGCTCTTCTCCTGCTGTACACCCACATTAGTAAAGCATTTTCAGGTATCTGCTCTATATGCACTTATACAAGAAGTGTTCCATGCCCCTCTGTAGGTTATTGAAGGCTTTGAACTGGCAATCTACTGGAAAAAATTTTTGCTATCTATTTTACACAATTCAATTATCTTATAACACTCACATTCCAACATTTGCATGAGAAGACAGCACTTTACATCCATATCAATATTTGAGTAAAGACATTGCACATTAACAGTTCACTGAACAGAAAAAAATCCCCCAACCACTAAAACCACTTGAAACTGAAAAACATCTTTAACAAGGCGCTCTTTGCAGTGTCAATCAATCAACAAACTGAAAAAAAGAAAGAAAAAAAAAACCCCAACCAACAAAAGACTCAAGACAAAAACAGACTTAGACTGTGAATAATACATGGTAACAACCCAGTGACTCAAATCTAAATTTTACTAAATCTAATGAAGTTTTAAACTGCTTCCATGCAACATCAGAAGCATTGTAATGCAAACGTGGCTACTACTTTCATCTGTAACAGCAGACTGTAATCTGCAGCTTTTAGAGAAACAGAAGAAAAAAAAAATCCAAAACCAAATCCCAGCCTTAGATTAGAAACTGCCAGATGAAAAACAGCTGAGTATCAACTAAAACCAAATTCTTGCAGACACTCAAACATCATCTTAAAAAAAAATTGAAACAGAAAAATTAAACCACCTCATACATGGTGTGTTCCAAAGACTGCTCCTACAGAGGCCCTGATTAATGTTGCTGTCTGCTCAAATCTCCAATTCCTCAAGTGCACAAGAGGCAATGAAAATGGAGAAAGGACTTCCTCATGTTACTTTGCACAAAACTAAGTGTTGCAACTGACACCTGATGTTGCCAGAGATGTCAAGAGATCAGAAAGAACAAGAGTCATGACCCAGGATAGGTGGTAAGATGGTAACACAGCATTATGTAGCACTTGAAAGCTGTGAAAAGCCTTGCTACTTTAGCATAGGGTGGTGTATTTAAAAGACTATCATGAAGGACCCGATTATCAAAAGACAAGACTATTAGCAACAATCTGAAGTATCACAAAGGAGTAGCTTGGATTTCTCTGCTTCTGTAGCTAACAAGGCTGCCAAAGCTAAAGCCAAATATTTGGGATTTGTGGCACAATAAATCCCTTCTTTACTCAACTGTAACTCGACAGCCGTTTTTCTAGTTGGAAGAAATTGCCTAGCTGTCTTTCCCAGGATGTCATTCCGGGACCAAGTCATTGCAGTGCAACATACTACACTTCACTGGGCAGTCCCAGGTATAAACAACTTTTCTCTAAACCACTATATCCTGTCACTGGTAATTACTGCTACACCTTCCCATTCTGTGCAATGCTTTGAGCAAAGCACAAGATGTTTCCAAGTGCACGGAACGAACTAATTTACATAAAGGCTTCCACATTTTACATCCCAAGATGGAGATATAGCTTCTTGCTCTTAACTTCACCAAGCTTAATCCAAGACTAATTCTGGCTACCTGCCTCAGGCAGAATAAGATATCATATTAACCTGAACCAGTTGAGAGATAAGGAAAGAAATTGTTTTGTGCCTAACACTTCTTGAAAAAGTGAAGACTCCCTTTTTCTAAATCACTCCAGTTGCCCTCATACTTTGAAGACACTATTTTATTTTTAAAATATATGTTTTGTTACTTAGGAACAAGCCCTTATCAACAAACATGCATTTAATCATGCCCTTAATATATGGGTCTGAAAGAAAAAAAGGCCAAAAAAGTCATAGATAGCTAATGAGGAGACCGAATATATGAAAAGATTTTTATTTTTTTTTTAAATAGCCCATCCTCTACCATCTGAAATCTGAGTAGACTATGATTCCCATAGTCTACACATCATTCCCATAAATAAACTGAACATCCCCTAAGTGATCTAAACTACACATTTTTAATATCATTCCTTCATGCAAACTTCCTGCTATGTGAACAACATGGAGGGGGATACCACATAATCTGAATGAAAGGTTCCAGCAAAGGGGGAGTAGGTCCAAGAGAGACAAAAGAATATTTTAAAGAAGGGAAGAAAGAGCCAAAAAACAGCCGAGCAAAGAAATTCAGAACTTGGCTCATATCTCAGTATCTCCCAAAGCTGAGTCAAGTCTGGATCCTTTGAGTGTATTCCAAATGCATTTGTCCCTCTCACATCGATGAACTCACAGGCAAAACATCCATCTTCTCCAGTGCTACTCCACTTCCTACTGCCATTATCACTGGTTTAAAAGGCAAAGGTTCAACCCAGCAGATCACCCACACGGGAAGCAGTAAGAACTAATACCATGCTGTTATGCTTGCACTCGTTTTAACAACATGTAGAGGATTAAGGCTGCACAAAAATTAGGAAACGATACAATCAAAACAAGTACTTTGTACATACTTAACACCTCACATTCTATGCTCTTGAGATGAGCATTCTCTAGAAATGAGGTGGGAAGAACAAGGGGAGGACTGTTCTACCCTTAACAGCCTACCGGATTGGAGACTTAAAGAAACTGAAATACATACGAAGCATGAGACTGCAAAAAGGCAAAGCAAAACCAGAGAATAAGGCCATCAAAAACTACCCTTGCCACAGAGCTCCTGCATGACAGTAGATCAGTTCTTTCCTCCACCTCTACAGCTATTTTTTATATTCTACTTATTTTACAGCTACCTATTCAGATAATCTGCAATCCAATTTCTCTACATACTCAGCTCACCTGGCAGCAATTAGGACATGTTCTTTAAACACATTAATTGCTTTACACTATAAAATGTGAATGAAGGCATGACAGCATTTTTGTATTATTTCTGCCAGGTGAAAGAAATTCATTACTAATGAAGTATGTAGATGTTATGGCAATAGCCAGCAAAGGCAGATTCTGGAGTAACTTAATAAATCTGCTCTTTGGGAAGGGTTTTGCTAATAAAGATAAATAAAACTGAAGCTGTTCAGAAATCAGTAAGTACAAAGCTAAATACTGGGCAGCACTACATTAAATCAATACAGTACAGTTTAATGTGCTACAAAACAAAGAATTATATAAACGTATGCATTCACATAGTTAAAATATATGGCCACAATAACTGCTTAAACTGACCCACGAATACTGCAATTCTCATCTCAAACATAAAAAAGACCAATCTGAAGAGCAAACCATGGGATGAGGCTGTAATTAGTCTAAGAAGTGCAATTACACCCCTTACCGAAGCTAATCATGTCTATGCACTTTCCAAGAAAAAAGATACTACAATCGTAATACCTGACTACCAAACAAGAGAGGATAAAAGCAAACACACACAAATATTTACCTTATTGCAGTAAAGCATCCAAAGCTCATACAGCCTCTCTCGGGATGCCATTCCTCCCCTTCCTCTTCCCGTCGATCCCAGCTACTTTTCTCTTTAAGATCCTACCATGCTCAGTTCCCAGGTGCTCTTTCCAGTTTTGTTTTATTAGTTATATCATAACCCGAGAAGAAGCCAGCTAACAGAGTCTCAGTCTCTCCTTTTCGAGTAAACAACGAAGTGCAACACAAGCAACTGCAGACAAGTGTCAAGCATGTCAGTTCTTCGCCAGGGACGCTTCGGATTTAATCTCTGAAAGTGAAAACATATCCTTCAGGCCTTTGGTGGAGGGAGGAAGAAACGAATCCGCACTTAAAGGCCACACACAACCTCGGGAATCGGGCGGCGCCAGGTCGCACCGCTTTGCTCTCAGACACTATTCCCCAGTGACGGAGAGGTCTGGCGTTCAGCTTTCGTGGCGCTTTCTCGCTTTCGCAGGGGGCGAAGCCGCAGGGCTGCCGAGCGGGGCCGCCGGAGCCCCGGGTACTGCCGCTGCCGGCCCGGCAGTGACAGCCGCTGCCACCGCCCTTCTGCCCCGGACCCCGGGCTCCGCGGCTGCCCTGGACCCCGGCGGGCCCCGCAGGCCAGAGCCGCGGGGAGCGGGAGGAACCCCGCGCTGCGCCGCCGCCCGCTCCCGGCCGGGACCGGCCGCCCCGCGCCGCCACCTACCGCGCCACGGCCTCCCCGGCTCCCGCCGCGCTACCGCGGCCTCTCCCGCAGCCTACCCAGGCCGCGGCGAGTGGCGGCCGGGCAGGAGGGGCCGAGCCTCGCCACATCGCCCGCCCCGCCCGCGCTCCCGCACACGCCCCGGGCCGCCGCCGAGGGGCGGGGAAGCCGCGGGCGCCATGTTGGCTGCGGGCAGGGGCAGTGCCCGCCCGGGGCGGGCGCGGCGGGGGCAGAGCCCCGGCGGCACAGCCGATCCGCAGCCCGAGGCGCCTCGCCTGCACAGCCGGCGGGCCCGGTCCGGCCCCTCGGCCGCACCAGGAGCGTGCCCGTAAACAATCAGCATCCCCATTCCGAGCACCTCAGGAAACTTCCGCACTGCTTTGCTTCGTAAGTAGTAAAGGTTACCAAGCACATACACGTGTTTTACATATGCTCCAGAGAGGCCTGCCAGCATAGCCTGCAGAACACGGATATATCCATACATCCAACCTGCTGCCACTGTAGGGCAGCTCCCTTCCTTGTATGCAGAGCTTGCATAGGACTAAGGAACCAAAGTTAGATTTCGTCAAAAAAGTTAGATTTCTGAAGGAGAAATGTAATAAGACATCCCTCAGCTTGCGGGTGGCCCTGCCCAAGCACAGCAGCCTGTGCTGATGCAGCCCAGGCACCACACTCCAGTGAAGGACTCTCCTGCTCCTTCAACAACAGCATCTTTGCTTGACTCACGGGGCACTCCCCAGGGAATGGGCTTCCCTGGGTGTCCTGCTCCCTTGGAAATTGAGACTGGAAATTAATGTTGTGTCAGACTCCAAAGCAGACAGGAGGCAGTTTAAGGAGACATCGGGCATCTCTCTAGTTTTTTGCGAGAATCACAGTCCTGGTCCTTCTGCCACTGAGTCATCTCCTCTCTTGGGTTTGGAGAGCTTCGTGCAATAAAGCATTGTCATTCATTACTTTCAGGGGATTTTCACACCTTTGTAATGATTTTATACAAGGTTTGGAAATCCTCTGCAAAGGAATTGACTGTGCAATATCATTGTAGTGTCTGCTACATAATTTTTTTTCTAGGGGTGGATAAGTATCACCAAGAGCCCAAAGACAGATTGAGATATGTTCCTGCAACAGGCCTTTGCATATTTGTTTTTAGAACATCAGTGAAGTTTCCCTGGTGAAATTTAAGAGCTAATCTCTGCTCGTTGTTTCATGTGGATCACCACTGTGGGAGTGGTAGAAGTATCTTTTACTGCAATATCTAAACATAATATCTAGCGCGGATGGAGGGACACTGACAAAAATGAGACTGTAAAATTATTTTTAGTTGTGTGGTACATGTGCTATGCTACTTGATGCTAGCCGCAATATTCTGCTGCCTTGAGGATGCTTTCCATCAAGAAAAAAATAAGAGCTTAGAGTCTATCTCTGTCCCCAGGGCAGGATCTGCTGTGCTTAAACCACCCTGAACCCCCTTCGGTGAAATGTGTCTTGGATAAAAAGAGTGCCTGCCTCCTCCCTGAGAGACTTTCCTCAGGGTTTGAGTTACTGCTGGGAGCTCCTCCCTAACAGCCAACCTGCATCACCTTTCTAGCAAATGCAAACCACTATTATTTGGCCCTTCCACAGTAATTCAATAAGAGGAAGCTCTTTATAGCAGATCTTTTGAGTTCCAAACTCTTATCACATTTTTGGTAGCCTTTTCTAGACAAAACAACAGCTTATTTTAAATTTCTCTTACAACTTACTCCCTTTGAAGAAATCGGGCCCTAGCAAAACCATTGAAAAAATCCCAATCCTCCCTTCAGTTATTGCTCTGCTTTTTTGCATTACTGTTTCCTGTAAGAGCAGCTGCTCCTACACACACCAGTCCTGCAACAGCCTTCAATGAAGCAATAAAAAACCATCCTCTGATAGAAATGGGAGACTCCTCCCTGGCTAAGTGCTGCCACCCCCATAACACGGATGCTCCCAGACTATAAAGCAGCCATTTTCCACTCTGCTGGAGTTGTAGCAATGTAGTTATTTTAGTGGGTCTAGGCAATCATTGCTGCTTGTGTAGGCAGTTCTTGCCTTATATAGGTGCTCTAGATGGAAAGAAAAGCATTTGTGGTTTGCAACAGAACAGTCTGTTCCTATGTCTTTCAGGGTGAATGGTCTCTTGGTCTGACCTTCTAGAGGTTTTCCTAAGCTAAGGTAACCCTGTAAGGTTATTGAGGTGGCTTTGGGGTGTCTGCATCACTGGATGTATAGGTTTAGTCTTTCCCTGTACAGACAGACGTTTAGTATTTGCTATGAGTTTTTTCTTACATAGATATATGGGCAAAAATGGGAGAGGTCAGTGTAAAAAGGTGGGTTACAGGGTTGTCTCTGCAGGTGGAGTATAATTGTAGGTGAATTTACATTTCAGTGTACTTAGCTACATGAAGACTCAGCAAACGATATGGAAATCAAAGAATGGAGGAAAGTGTAAAGAGAAGCCTTGCCAGCTATGGATGGATACTTTAAAATGTGAGTGTTTATGGATTGTTTCAGCTGTGAGATAATTGTTAGACTTTTCATTGCCTGCTCTTCCATAATTATGTATTAATTGTTTCATGGACCTTAAACAGTCAGGTAGGCAGTGTTCATTAGTATTTTATTGTCCCTTAGCTGGTGTCTTGTGGTAACTGTTTACAGCAGTGGTTATTTCTCATACTTTGTTTATTACTTGTGGGTTTTAATGTCGCTCATCAGGAGCTGTAAATTAGTAACCGAGTCATTTTACTGCAGAGTGAATTTGTTTGTCAGCAAGTCCAGGTAATAGAATGGGTACAAAGAAGGGTGTGGATAAGAAGAAGGCATTAATTTTGTGTTAAGGAAAGATTTAACAAAGAAATGGACTACACTGGATTGTAACTTTGAATCCAGGAATCTCTGAAGTGGCAGGAAAAGCCTCACACCTTATTGTACTGCTTTTGTAGAATTATGCTTATTTTCTGTGGATGCAAATGAATCAGGCAAAAATCTTTATTTGACTTTTAGATATTCTCAGACCTGTTGTTTGGCCTAAAGGCTTCTACTGAAAACAAGCCCCAGACCAATAGAAATCATGCTGAGATAAATGTATGGCAAAGCTTTTAGCTGAGCTTTTTCTTGATGTTTTAAAGCTAATGCTTTGTTTACCAATAATAAAGACCTGAAATAGAAATGAACTTAGAAATTAGCTTAGAAATGAACCTGTCCCTCAATTCTTCTACCTTTTTTTTTACAAACAGGCTCTTGCACAGAAGCAAGGAATAATCTTTACAGTGTAAGTAAACAAATGGTCTTGTGGCTGCATGTAAAATTTCTGTTATCAAAATACCTTTTGCTGAATGTAAAGAAATAAAACTTTTTGGATGCTAGTTTATGGACATTCAAGCAAAAATAACTTGAGATTGGATTTGGTATGGCTATTGGAAAGAGGCAGGCTGGTCCTTGTAAGATTGCAAGGTCTCTGTGTAACATTTTGCTGAGGGTGATTTGAATTTCTCTGGCTATGATTGCCAGATGAGTTTGCAATTATTCTGTTAGGTAAATCAGCAAACCTAAAGTTTCATTTTCCTTCTGTAACTATATTCACTTTGTACCTCAGGTAATTCAGAGCTTGTTAGTTGTTCATAAAATTCAAAAATGGGAAGGAATTTGTTTGCCTCCTGACATATAAACTGCTATCTAGGGATTTTAGTTACTTTCTTTCAAAGTGTTGGAGACTGGCCACAGCTAAAGCTGGGAGGTGATGGTCTGGCTAATAGCATTAAGTCCCCCTGCCTGCCCAGCTTTCAGATATGCGGGGTTAAGCCACTCACCAGACTTAAAATCAGAAAGGAATTAACCCCAGGGTAGCCTGGGACCATGGTGAGTATTTTTGTCCTTGCCCGTCCTTTTGGCTAGTTTCCACAGGGGGCTTTCAGTATAATAACTCCATCGTTGTCAAAGGCTCAGGCAGTGATTTGATCTCTTCTGCTCCCTATTTTGTAGTATGGGCTCCCTTATCACAAGCCTTAAGTTTGCAGCTGTGCTAGGAATGTTCTTGTGTGGGTACCTCTTAAAGACCCTTTCATAGATAGTATGTGTTCATCTGCTTTGATCTGCCTAGGCTCTTAAACAAACAGCAAAAATTCATAGATGAGAGTAGAGTCTTAGAATTGCCCCTCTTCTCTGCTGTCATTTAGATTAGCTATGCCAGAGCTAACATGTAGATTGGTGCTACAGCTGTCTTTCTTTTGCAGATCCTTGAAGGCACCAGTTGTTACTACACAAGATTGCATCATAAAATTGTTCTTCCTTCACCAAACTGACTTCTCACTCAAAGTAACCCATCCTTTACTGTACAGTCTTAGTGCCAGGGATCACTACCTGCAGTTCAAATCATTCTGCTTTAGTTAAGACGATATTTAATGAATGATTTCATTATGTTGCAGTGCTCAGCAGTATGGATCTGCAGCATGATTCCTGGAAGCAATCAGTGTGTCAGGAAAAAAACAACATAGCAGCAACCAAGACTGAAGGATGTGTAGGGGTTAGTAGTCTCTGTTGATCTGTTTGAATTTAATTCCCTCTTAGGTGAGCAGGGTAAAGTTGTCTCAAGGGTGTCTGTTATAGCAACTTGGAGCCTAACTTCTCATGGTTTGGAGAAGAAGGCAAATGAGGCTAAGTAACTAAGGGAAAATGGGCTTAGGAAGGCTCTAACTTTGACCAGAGGTGGGGATACTGCAAAATATAAGTACCACAGCCTCCCAAAAGCTAGATGTTGACTACAAACACACTGCTTGCTTCTGATCGGGATGTGAAACCAACGGTGTGCCCTTGTGAATATCCCAGGGACCTGGCTAGCCTAACTCCTGAGCACAGAAGGGGTACAGAGACCTGAATGATAGCTACTGTTGTAAAACTTGAAATGGAGTTTTAAAGATTTTGCAGTGTAGTGTAAACAGTGAGCTGTTAAGAGTATGTGAGAGACTTGTGGGAGCCCACTTGCATATTGAACTGGTTGTAGAATCTTTAATATAATGAGTCTCTCTTTTGGTTCCTAACCCCAGGCCCTAGGGAAAGCTGCTACTTCTGGGCTGTGGAGGGTCAACACGAGTTCATTCCTCCAAATGGTGTGAGGTCCTGGCTAAACAAAAGAGCACAGTGTAGGTCTTGAGCTGGAAGTAGGAGCAATTAAATCCTGTGCAGATATCTGGATTTAATGCCAAATGGTAGCAGGAACTATTGGGCTGTTGACCAGGACTGTTTGTTTGTTGGGTATTTCTTAATCATGAAGTGAATAAGCAGCTGAAAGATTAATTCTGGTATCTTTAGCATTTCAAATAGTCATTGCTAGAAATAATTTTTATTAATATATTTGGTAAATAGTGTAAATACTTCACTCTGTCTTAAGCCATTCAGTGTCCCAGCTGGAGGCTTGGTATGCAGTATTTCCCTGATGATACTGTTTGCTGCCAGCTTGCCAGTGTACTCACAGAAGAAATAATTCTGTGAAGGCCATTGGTTTTATGGGTCAACTCAAGATGGAAGGTACACCCTTTAATCAATTCAAGCATGGAGTAAGCCCATGGGCTCAATTACAGGTGGAGTTTGGGATTTTCATAATCATAAATTAAGAATTTTTTCCCTAAGGTCTGAAAGCTTTATTAATTTTTTGGTAGTTTGTTTGTTTGTTTGTTTTGTGGGTTTTTTTTGTGGTTTGTTTTTGTTTTGTTTTGTGTTTTTGTTTTGTTCTGTGGTTTTATTTTGTTTTCTATTTTTGTTTTGTTTTGGTTTTTGTTTTGTTTTGTTTTTTAAATTGAAGCCCACCCAGTGCTGGCAGTCAAGAGAGATTCCAATTTCAGGAAGTATTGATGGTCTGTGTAGTTGGGACATTCATAGATCATTCAGCTGCTTTCCACTTTATCAGCAGTTGAGGAAGGCATGCAGATCTGATGGGTCTGTGGTGGTGTCACAGGAGCAGCCCTCAAAGGAAGACATCTGCAATAAAACAAAAGTGCTGCAAATCACACTGGAAAGTATTTGAAAGCTGACTGGGTTTTGCCTGGATTGTACAAAGCAATCCAAAGACTGCAAGGGACCATAGGGACACTTCTACTGAGCCCTAAGACTAGGAAGGCTCTTATATCCATTTTCTATAGGATGTGCTCTAGATAAACTGTTATTGCTGTCTTCCTTTCTCTAGCAGTAGAGAATGGTGGATGTCCCTTTGGGTCTCTGAAAGTGGGGAGCAACTGTTAGCATTATTTCATAATGAAAATATCCTGTTAGCAGCCTTTTAACAAGGTTTTGGGAGCATTTGGAGAAAGTGAAACCCCATTCGCTCTTTGATAGCTCTGTGGGTGACTTCTGTTTATCACACATTCATTCAACTTTGTGCCCATCTCCTGCTGCCAGTCCTGGGTTCCTAGAAATCTTCTGTAATGTAGAAGAGAGACAAAGGAAGGAATAATTCCACTATATCTTATTTGTGCTGAAGCTTTCACATCTCTTAATGATACTGGAAAAAAACAAGATTGTTCTGTCCAACCCAAGTTAGCCCACTGAGCACTTTAGGTCTGCTGGACTGCCATATCTTAGCAACAATAAAATCAAGTTAGAAATATTAAATTCAGCAGTATTGTTTGGCAATATTCCTTACAAATGTTTTATCTAGGTTATTTCAACCTTATTTTCTTAAAAAAATCTAAGATAATATAAACTTTAGGTCTCTTTCAGCAGTTGAAAAACTAAAAGGGAAATTAGCCAGACAGAAAACACAAAGAATTTTTTATTGTAACTGCTTTAGTATTTGAAATCTGTCAAGTACACTATAGGCTTTCTTTAGTAAATTTATCAGAGATGGATAATAAAAGAAGGTTTCCCCTCTGCATCTTTTGTTGGTAGACCAATTAATGATGTTTGCAAGTGTACTTGCCTACAAGAAGCTATACCCATGCTAGGCTGTTTGCTCCATTCACTCAGCTGTTCTTATCTTCGCTGTTTTCGCTAGGGTGTAACTGTGACACCTTTTCTCTCATACTTGCCTTCCTTTTCTCTCCTTCCACACCCACCTTTGAACTAAATTTCACAAATTTTATTCATGTGCAGTGCATTTTCATGTTTCTTGCTCATACTGCATGAAGGAATTTTGGGTCTTTTCCTGCACTGGTTTCTTTTTCAACCAAAATGCTACTTGTTTTGGGCTTTGTTGCATGTGTCTCACTATGAGTCTTGTATAGTGATTTCATGAAACTGCAAAACTTCAGGGACAAATCTTTGGCGCTCCTGTTTTTACACAGCTCTAATTGTGATTCTGATGGCTGTTGTAAATGGTGTCACTATTGTCAGCCTCTCTCTTGGAGGTGCTTCCTCAGCCAGGAAATTGTACCCTTTAACACTGAACACAGACTGAGGGAAGAGTGGGTTTTGAGTCTAGCATTTGTTTCTGGACACCTGTATGCCTTCTTTGTATCAAAAATAACTTCTTCCTCGTGGTTAATGCTAAGCAAATTGAATTCACTTGCAGTAACAACTTCTATGTGCAGGCCTGTGCTTGTATTTCTCAAAGATCTTTATCAGACTCAGAAGTGTTACACTTTTTTTTGTTCTGTCTGTGATCATGCTTGCTTTGTGGAGCAGGTTTGTCTTTTGGATGCCACAAGGTCTTTCACAGATGAATACAGTCGGCACTAGACTTGGTAAAGAAGTTTCTGTTAAAAATGACAGTATAATACTGGCTTTTACATTTATTTATTAGCTTTTACATGTTGTTATTGATCATAAGTATTTGAATATGGTACAGTTTTTAACTCCTTGTAGCTGCTTAGTATTATAACACAATCTAGTAGTTTTGCACCTTGTAGCTTATAGAAATAGTAATGTGATGAATATATTTCCAAGTGATAACAGTGATACAAACCAGAGCACTGGAGAAGAATTGGAGAAGAACTTGTCAACTCTTTATCAGGGAGTGTGAAACAACAGGATGGAAAAACAAGAAGAAATAAAATATATTGACCTAACCCATAGGATGTCATGCAAATAAATCAGAGTGTAAAACCAAACAAAAGAGTTCCTGAAACAGCAAAAAGCTCACAAGAATGTTTGAATAATTATGAAACACATGAATATGCATGTACCTTAGTAACATAACAGTACATAGATATCACTGTCTTATCCACGTGTGTGTTCTTTGGCCAATAGCCAGAAACACCCCAGAGCTGGACATTGTCCCTTTTTATTCCCTTATTAAACTTTTAAAAATTCTAGAGAGTGAACTTTAGTTTTCACATTTGGAACTTGAGAGACCTTGAACTTGAGCAGAGCAGGCATATGTAAATTCATTATTGGAACAAATGAGCAGCCATCACAGGTTAGATGGGCCATCCAGCCAAGTAACTTCTAGGAGTAGGCATGAGGGAAGGGTAGATGTGAAGCAAATATATATGACATTTCATTCAAATTTCAGGATCTCAAGCTTTTTTAGCTGATGAAGTTTTCTGAGCAGGAGGTTTCTTCTCTCTTTTTAAAAACTCTCAGTGAATTTGTCTTTCCAACTTCTCTTTGGATCCTGTTCCTAGGAGTCTATGCCACAGATGAACTGAGCACTGCAGGAAGGGCTGTGGGTTGATCTTAAACTCTGGAGCTAGAATATCTTGTTAGACAAACGTTATCCATCGTCTGAGGAGTATGGTTATTTCCACCTGTTGCAGCTGCCCTCAGCAAGTATGCTGTTATGACAGCTGCTTTTACATGGAGATTGACTGCTTTCGCACCTCAGAAAAACTTGAGCATAGGAGTAATCTGAAAAATGCAGTGTTTTTGTAGAGAAATACAGCCTGCATGCCAGCAGCTGTAGTACCTGCTACCAACCTTAAAGCAAGCTGCAGAAGCCTAGACTACTTGTTAGTGAAAACTTGGATGCTCTGTGGATCCAAGTTTCCAATTTAGCACCATTGTTCTTAACATCTCCTTGAGGTTCTCTGAACATTTGCAAACCAAAGCAAGTACAGCCTCTCAGTGGTCCTTAAAAACTAGGCATTTCCACCATCCCTGTCTCCAGTGGAAAACTTTACCACTTCTAAGCTCTAGGATGCAGCAGAATCTAGAATCCAGACACTCTACCTATTGCCCTGATCTCTGAATAGTTATTTCTGTTGGTTCTTGCCTTTTTCAGAGGAATGCCAGCATGTAATCTACACATCACTATAGAGATTCTCAGTTGCACTAATTGAACCACATACTTTGTTGCAGAAAGTAGGCATATGTTAATTGCTGTCTGGGGAACTGGTCATTTCTTTATTTTATTCTTGCTAAAAACAAATGAAATAGTTTGATTTTCTGTTCTAGGCAGACAAGCAGAGACTGTACCTTAACTGCTGTGCTATTTTGCAAATCTGGGTTAGCTAAGCATGCTAACACACATATTCCTCACACTGTGCAGTTCCCATAAATGCACAATATTAGCTGTTTGTGAACAAGAGGAAACATGCTTTTTCACACCTCTGCCCTGAAAGCCAAGTTGTTCATGCTCCATTTCCCTCTGGCTGAAGCATGGTGTTTTTATGTACACCAAACATTTCCAGTAGCGGAACAGCCTACTTCATGCAGTGAAGGAGAGGCAGGAGGGCAGAGATAGTGTCCCATGTACAAAAGAAAGGACGAGAAGGGCAAAAAATACTTCTGTTTTCCTCTCCAATGTTGTCAGGGAAAGGTTGGTGAGGATCACTAACAGACTGTTACTGATGGCTCATGTGAGTGTGAAATAATGGCTAAATGAGGTCTCTGACATTAGCAAGGAGAGATGTGAGTTTTAAGCAGTCTACCTCACTGCTGTAAAAGTTGCTTGGTTTTATTCAAGGACTCCATTATCAGAATGTTTGCTTGGCAAAACAAAATCAAAGCCTACCATTTCAAGCCAAGAAGTGATGTAAAATTAAACATATACTAGATAAGGTTGCAGAGTGCCCTAGCTGCTCTGTTCTCTCTGTACTGCTTTCTCTTTACAAAAGTCTCCAGAATTTTGCTGAAAAACAGTAGTATCCCTCCTAAGTATAGAGCTGGGATCTATTCCTAGATTGAAAACTTCTGAAAATAGAGAACTTAGATGAAAGAATCAGACCTTTCCCTTCACTTACCAGGATATGGTAAGTGGACACTTACCAGCAATATGCAGCTGGACCTTTAACACTTATTTAACTTATCATGCCTTAACTTATCATGAACCACTGGCTGATTGTGAATATATTTTAAACCTATTCCTCCTCTCCCCTGAAAACATGAAAGAAATCAGATTTCCCTCTGGACTGCACAACTTTAATTAGTTTGTAGTACTGAAGAAAGATTTGTTTGAACCAGGATTTTAGAATGCATTCACTGTTTATTTAGTATGAGAGCAGTAATTCAGTGTGAATCAGACAGTCTCTGCAAAGAGACAATTTTTGGCATTTACTGTACTACAGTCAAGAATTCTTCTCTATTCCCTTGGTTTCAATAAATACAGTCTGCCCTGAATTTAGACATTTCATACAATATCCAAGAGCCACCTCAGGCACTGAGGGAGCAGATCTCTGGGAGACAGGCATAGCCTAGGACAAATATCAGTAAGACTCAACATTTGACCTTGGGGATTTTCTTTTTTATAGAGCTGAATATTGTGGGAAACAGAATCTGCAGTGGAAAATAGCAAAAATACAGAAAAGACAGAAGTTTAACTGATTTTGACATTACCAAACAATACAGGAAAAGGAGCACTGACAGTTTCTACGTATATTTCTGAGAAATCGTGTTCTATTCTGGAGATGGTATTGCAAAAAGATTCACTCTTTTGAAACTGATAGAAAATGCTTAATCCTTACCCATAGGGAGAGAGCTCAGGTATGCCAACAAATGGGTATGATCTCACATGTGTTAGCAAGTAAATGGAAGATGCTTTATGGCTTGAAAAAATGCGATTTATAAGGACTCTGTATCACTACAATAGGAGCAAATGTATTAATACAATTTGAGGATGATGTATGGTACTTACTCATGACCAGGACTGAATAATGTGGCCTTTTTTTAGAATTATGCTACTAAAAGACATGTCACTCCATATGCTCCCACGGTGTGCATGGGACACATGCCATGTGGGAAACTGCTTGTGAGTGTGGGGATGTGGAGTGTTCCTGCTGCTATGGCTTATACTGAAAGGATATCTAAATAATGAGAGAAGTACCTTGGTGAGTATTAATCCTTTGCCTGACTTTAACCAACACAGTTTTTATGTTAGGAAAACGGTACCCATTGCAAATCTGATTTAACATGTTAAAGTATCATTGTATAATAACACAGTGTGGTCATAAGAAAGTTGCATACATCAGTCCACAGCAGAAATTTATATCAGCTAGCCCTGCCAGCTGCTCCCTGGGTGATGTAAAGATATTCTTTACCTAGGAACACTCCACTTTCTTTTAGTATCTTCAAGTTTTGAAAAGGCCCTGGAAATAGCTTTAAACAGATATTAAACAGATTATTTCCTTCATATTTAGTGAAACTTCGCATCACCTTACTGAACTTTGCCTGTCTCTCAAGTTGCTTGGAGAGACTGTGTAACTATAACCTTAAAGGATAAACGGTACCCACTTTCTTAAACTGTGATGTGCTGCTTAGCAGAACTCACTTGTAATATTACATGGCAAGACCTGATGGAATTGCAGAGAGTGAATCACTTCTGGAAGTCAGGATCATTCTTCCTTTTTAAAAGGCAGTGGTGTTCTGAGTAACTGGGCTCTCATAAATACTCTAGCAGCCTTTTCTTGCCTTAAAGAAATTGCATTGTTTCACAGGGGGGCTGCAGGTCAAGGTGGTCACTGCAACATTCATGGCAGCAGACCAGAAGCTCTTATCTTCATAAAAAAACATAATCTGCAATACACACATTTGCAAGACTCATAGTCCACTCTCTTGTCTGTGTCAGAGCAAGGCACGGGCATACTGGGGTTTCCACTTCTCTTTCCCACTTCTGAAAATTTACTGAGGTGAAAGTTGAGAGCTGTTAGCAGACACTCTGTTTGCTTTTATATACCAGAGTCAAAATGCCCCATCTGCAAAATGCAACACAAAAGAGACCTTCTAAGCTGTGGGGATTTCTCATGTTTTGTCTTTATTATAGTTATGACGTTTATTGCATTTCCTATGGGGGACTCTTATTTTTTTCTGTGTTTTACACTACATTTGCTGATGCTGTGTGCAAGTTGAGTTATCATGTAACTAACTGTGGGGTATACTACACTTTGAGCTGCTGTTGACTGTTTTATGTGGTCCATCTGCCCAATGTGAGATAGGTACAAGCACGTGTATGAGTATATAAAAGTGGTTCTTTATAGAACTTCTATTGCCTGAAAGCTCTCTAACTCAGCAGACCTGAGCAGCTTCTGGTGCAGGTCTGCTCCTCTCCTTCTCCACCCTGTGCTGATTACTATTTGCCCAAGTTCATCCCATGGCAAACTTTCCTTTTGTGATAGCAGATAAACTTCGCTTCAATTTCAATACTTTGTCACATGCTTTATCCTGGAGACAGGAAAAGTCTCCAACTCACTTGGTGTTGTTAGCTTTTGCCTTCTAATCCTTTCTGTTGTTTACAGATTTTAACACAGACGTGCAAGGAAGAAGTAGTGATTAAATGTTTCAGTCTCTTCCTGGTGTGTGATTAATTGCAGCATCCCAGAAGACGATAAAGATTGAAATCAAATGGTTCTTACTAGATGTTTATCAATGTATCTGAATTACTGAATAATGTTGTTAATCAGTTTGGGTTCACTTGGTTCATTTTTTTCCCTTTGGAAGTCTGTTTTAAAAATTCAGAGGGGAAAAAAGAGCATTAAACTCAAGTTGCTCTCTATCTGGAACTCAGAAGGATTGTTGTTAATGCAAAAGCAGAGTGCTTTCACACTAAAGCACTAGGCTAGAGAAAACTATTCCTCTATTTTGAAACATTTCCTCTGTTTTGTTTTTCCTGTTTGTCACAGGGTTGTAACAAACCTTGACTTGTTCTGTTTCAGTTATCATTTTCTTGCACCTAAATCTTAGACTCTGCAAAAACAACTGCTTCATGGGCTAGGCAAAGCTGGTTATAAAGGTGACATATCACCAGTAGATAAGGCTTCAGATCAAAACAAGCTACTGCACTTCAAAACTAGATTTATAATCTTATGTATTTGGGGGAACTCATTCAGGCATGTGAAGACCTTGTCAACATGATCCATGAGTAACCTGGCACACAGGTGAACACCTTCATAGATCTAATTTACTTAAAATAACTCTATTTTCAACTACGCAGCCTCTATCTCCAAAGGAACAAAGGAGTGTTTGTGGCTATAAGGAGGGAGGGCAGGGCACAGTTTGGAAGACTTAGTGGAGCACAGCTTTGCTTACGTTTGAGGCCAAAGAAAAGGGCTTTCAGTGCTGTAGTAAGAAAGGAAAGAGAAAGACAAGAGCGTCTTCTGGGGAAATGGATGGGGAAAATATGAAACGTTCATCTTCACATCACAGCCTTCCATCACAAACCACTTCCCTTTTTTTAATTGTATCCATATTACATGACAGGGGCTAATGTGTACTCACCATTTCCAAACAGGTTAGATACCCTTCTGTCCTCTTTAGTATATTCAGCCCTTTTGGGTTATCTCAGACCACCTGCCTTCATCCTGTTGGATTTCCTTGTCATGATGTTTGCTTGCCTGTTGTATTTGATTTGCTGTATTGCTGCTGTTACTGTAAGTATGCTGTTCAGGACTTGACATTTGTCTGCTGGCATGAAATCTAGTCCTGGATGCCTTTGGCAACCATACCACACACTTCACTTAAATGGATGATATGTTTAGCACTGGCAGTGGAAGTACTGTGTGGAAGTACCTGGCAGATCACATCCATAACAGCCTGTCTGGGCTAGTTTCTGTTTGAGGACCTCTAAGCACTCTTTCAACCATGACCCTCCTTGTGAAGCCAGCATCTTTAACAGTGTTTTAGAGAGATGGAGTAAAACTGATTTTCACATGGCTTTGGTAATTGCTGTTGCTGCCAGCTTGAAAATATATAGTCCTGTGGACTTAAATTACTTTCCAACCTGACAAAATTGATGCTTTTCAGAACAGATTGGTTAAATTTTTGTCCAACAGATAAACCAGTTTGAGGAATAAAAGATATTTTGCTTTTCCATGATAGATGCTAGATGTTTCCACATGACATTTGGCTAGGAAAAAGCTCTTCACCATAATGAGTGAGAATTTTCAGACTAGCTAGAGAATCAGTAGTGACTTGCCTTAAGATTACTGTAGCAGAAATGAGGGAGAAATTTGTGCTTGCTTGCATGGGCAGTGTTCTAGTAACTCTGGCTATGGTGTAAAGACTCTTACTCACAAACTTGTGTGGAGCAATTTAAGAAGTTAGAATTTCTGGTCCAGCAGGCAATATGTCTGTGCCTCAGCTGCTGTGTTGTCCAGTCAAGCATGTTAGCTGAAACCATCTGATTTCAGTGTCATAAACTGGGCTATGAATTGCAACAGAAAGTTGCCACCATGAGTTCTACAGCTGGAGTCAGTCTCTGGGGTACAATTTTTCTCTTAAATTACCAAAGGAGAAGTGGATAATGCTCTGTTCAATTACCTGCTTGCCCCTTTTCCATGATTTCAGGTGCTTAGGAAGAACAGATCCAGAGTGGCCTCTTACTTTTCCCACTATGGGTAGTATTGCAGTGCAATGCTAGACAACAAATGTCTGCATATAGTGCACATATGATTAGAGGTCTCTTCTGGGTCATAGAAAATTATCATGATTCTGTATTGCATCTGAGCTCTGAATTCTGTCCATTGCTTTCTGCATAGCTGAAGAAAGAGTTTGAAATTGTTCTGACTAATTTATTTGGTCACTGAAAGAGCTATTTTTTTCATTCTGGATACAATATAGCTCAGGAAAGGAGGAATATCCAGTCAAGGCAGCAGAAGGCTATGATTCACCAATCCTGTGGTGCACACAACAAGCACCTTTCAGCTCTCTAGTTCTGTCTGTCTGAACATGTGAGCAGCAAACCATATGATGTGCTGGGCTTCATTTTTGTGTGCAGACAATTAGCACAGCCAGCCAACAGGGGAGAGAGTAGAAAAAGGGCAGGTACTTGCACTTTGAAAATAAAACACTGGGTTTATGCTTATTAGCATTAGTAAGTAAGCAATAATATAATAAGCATAACATACTATAATGAAATTTCTATTGCTTACTCCTCTTAAGTTCACCAGTCTTATCTATAAAACCACAAAGTATTAGCCAAAGAAAAGCGAAGACCATGGCAGTAGTCTAACAGCAAAGACAGCACTGTAAAAAAAACAAACTAATCAGCTATTTGTTAGTCTTACTACTTATTTTATTACAGGTCAGTGAACAAAAAACAGTCATGAGATGTTAATCTCTCTAGCTGCTTAATCTTAACCACCCTCTCACCATTGTTCTCTCATGGGCTCAGCAGCAATATCCCCTCCTCCCCTCTTGTAATGACCTCATTTCAAAGTACAATTTCTGTCTGGTTTGGCTTTTAAGGGGTCAGACTGATGCTGTTTGAGCTGGGATGAAGTTTGCTCGGGTCCTGTCACTGGCTGCAGTCTATCGTTCTACTGAATTTGTTTCAGTGCAGACTTATCAGGTAATTTGTAATTTGTGAATGTATTGAGCTGTGATTAGTGACAGCCCATCTAGGGAATGGGGAGTGTAGTAATGCAGCATTGCATAAGAGGACATAAGAGGCAAACATTAAAGACATATAAATAGGAATTGGAAGATAGACTTCAGTGCTACTTGGCACTGCAGGGAGATGCTTTTTCTTCAGTTTTACCAAAATAAAACAGCAGGATGGTTAAAGGGGAGAGCTGAGAGGCACAGCCCAATGCTGGATCATGTCTGGGAGTTGCAAAGCACTGTGGAAAAGGGAAAGTGTGTACTCCCTGCCTCTGAAGTGCTGCATCTGCTCATTGTCTCTACAAAAGTAGTATAGTGCATTGAGGAGCAGAAGGGATGCACTGGGAGAATATAAGTTCCCAACATAGTGGCAGGAGGAAGCAGGAGAGAAGTGACTAATGGAAGGGGAATGGATGTCTTAGGTACAAAATATGAGGGGGGAAAGGAGGGAATGGCTGTGAAGATTTAAACAAACACAAACCCAACTAAAACACAAGTTGCAAATATATTACCAAAGCTAAAGTAGAAGATATCAGCTCACCTACAACTAAGTTAGGTACATGAAATCTAGGTCTTTGTTATGTCTTTGATTAATTTGCTTTCCTCACTTTTGAATTTGTTCCAGGCTTCCTTGGAGAGATTCCTTGTTTTCCTTCTGTAGCTCCCTGCAGGATACACACGTTAATAAGTGCAAACACAGCAGGCAGGGCTGAATCCATCAGGAGGGATGGGGACTGCAGGGCAGATCAGCTTCCCTCCTGCTGTGTGACCTGTGATGCACGTTGAACTCAGGGCTGTGGGGGAGCCCCTTACTCTAGTTCAAACGCAGTGCAAATCCAGCACTGCTGCTGGAATGTTTTCTTAGCTCTGTTGCTTAGTGGAGCAGTGTTAAACAAAAGGCTTTAGCAAATCATGGACAAATATAAAGGCAGAACCTATTTCATGAGCATGCTAGGCTAATCTGACATTGCTGGTTCTTTATGGAGTCAGTTCTTTGTTAATTTCTTTAAAAATAGGCTTTCTTTTCTTTTAACCTAAAAGTGATGGTAGTAAATGTTTTGGGTTGTTTTTTTGGTTTGTTTTTTTTTTCAGGGATATTAGGCAGAAGATGCTTTCAATGTGTGTATTACCAGAGCTGACTTTCTAGCTCACGAGTGACACCTTCTGCCGATTTCATGAAATCCAATATAGAATTAACACTTTAGTGTTAACTATGAAACATCTCATGCTGAAGAGAGCTGAGAAGGGTAGACACAACTGAGACATTCGGTGTTGCGTTGCAAAAACTTTTACTGGCTTGTGTGAATTCTCCAGACCTACTTTGTCACCCTGTGCTTTCCTCTGGTCAGTGTGTCCAGTTGCTTGAGGTCCTTTTTAGCTCTCCTTGCTAAACGAAGGCCTTGTTTTTGATGTGCAGTTGGTGTCTGGTACTTGATGCCTTGGGGGAGAGAGAGAGCCTCATATCATCTCGGGCTTACAGAGTGCCACTAGGTTGGTTTTTTCAGACCTACTGCATGGGCCTACTTGCAATACATGGCTGGAGGTAAGAGGTTCTGGCTTCAAATTCTTTAATGCTCCCAAAGTGACTCTCATTTTTGCTGCACTTGGAAAATAAACAGGCAAGCTGTAGGTGGCTCTCACTGGCCAGTAGCATAACTGACCTTTGTGAAACTTCTAGTATTAGTCCAAACTTAAAAGCAGGCAAATAACTGACAGACACGAAGGCTGATTTTCTGGAAACATGTAATCTTGTTTACCTCTACTTGAGGAAAATGCACCTTTTGCAATTGTCATGAATTTCAGGAGCCTGAGCTAGATGCCATTTTTAGTTTACAGGGACAAAACACCTCTGCATCCTCCCCCATCTTCCCCCCAAGAGAATAGACACAGCCCAAGGTTTATACCATCCATTCCATGTGCAGCTATTGGAGCTCAGTGGGCTGTAACTTGGTGGCTCTGGTGGGCCAGGTCCTGCTGCTTGGTGTTCCCTTGCCCTGGCTTTGTAGGAGTTGAGGTGAAATGTGCTCACTTTGCTTCCTGGATTGCTCTGCAGCTTCGGGGGCAGTCGGCATGGCAGATGGATGCAGGGAGATCTTGAAAGGTTGAATCCAGTGGTCCTGAAAGGACAGCAACTCACAGACTTGTATACCTGCAGAAACTACATGATAAGACAATGGGCACACTCTTCTGGTCAGCAGGAGCCAAGTGCTTCAGCAGTCCTGGTGGATAAATGAGCACAATTTGTAGTGTCCATCTGAACTGCCTTAAGGGTGTGACTTGGGCTCCCTGAGTATCTATATATCTTAATAAAGCTAGTACATGGTTTTCAAGGAGATTTAAGCCAAAGCTTCAAAACTGATGAGGGATAACAGGAAATCTCCACCAGTTTACTTCAGTGGGGAAAAAAAATCCACAGAGACTGAATTTTCAGATGGGCCAGATTCCAGCTCTTTGAGTCTAGGACTCTTAAAGAAGCATAAGCTGAGTTCCAGGAGTTACTGTAAATTTAAAACAGTAGATTTAACCTCTTAAACTAATTAGGACTTTGCAAGATAAAGTATCCTTAGTTTCCCAGCTCATCAAAGCATTTCAATTCCTTCCTCATAGAGTGGGAATGATCTTTAGCCCATGATTAAAACGAAGCAGCGTTGTTGGCTGAAACAGAAACTGAAGAGCCTGATAACATTAGCTTTTCTTCTTCTTCAGAAAATTTTGTACCTTTCCTACCTTGTGATCATTAAGGAAGTATCTGAGTCCACAAGGGGCAAGGTCTAGGCAAGTGGACAGTAACATGAGCTGAGCAGAAATAATATTTCTGTTCTTTCTTTGTCTCTGCTTGCATAACATCAGAATATAAATTGAAGCTTAAAGAGCCCCACCTCTCCTTCTCCCAAAGGAAAAAAACCCACCAAAACCCAAATGCAAACTCAAGCATCCCACCACAGGAAACAGCATGAGTAGCTAGCTGGAAACCTTTCAAGAAAACATTGCTCCTCTGCAGTGTATGGTAAGCACTCAAAACAGAGATTTCTAAAAATATCTTGGGCTGGAAATTCATCAAGAAAAGTATTCCTGTCCATAAGAAGCAAGGCTGTAAAAATATACAATGTAACATTCACAGCAAAAGGAGGGACAGTTGATCCACCCACCTATCCCAGGAGCAGAGAGGAAGATCCCTCGTTCTAAATAACATGTTGTGAAATGCCCCTACATCACAACTAGTGACATTTCTAGTTGTTGATGTGGAAGAATTCAGCTAAGAGAGGTTACAGCCAAGGCTATTCTGGTGCATGTAACTGGGAGCTGAAATGAGCTCTAACACTTTCTGGACACTGAGTGTCAGTCTGTCGTTAATATTTCAGCTAAGCATGCCTGAGATAAAACAAACAAACAAACAAACAAACAAAAAAGAGCTTGTAATTAAGTTGGATTTGATTTCTGAGGGCATACTCCATACAGGCATCATGGCAAACATGTCAAAAATAGAGCTGCTGCTTGTTTGCTCTGAGAAACACAGATCTACTGCCTGCCTCCACCAGTTACACCCCCAGGGCTTATCTGCTGCTATGGCCAGGCAAGAGGGGAAAATGACCTTCATAAAGTGAACACAGCCATGCCAGGACTGACCAGAAGTCCTGCTAACCCAACCCCTCTCCTTTTGTGGCAAAAGTGATACCCTGATGAAGAAAGGGACTTTACTGAAATGAGTCTGGTCCCTAGTCCTTGCGTGAGCTGATCCCTTCCATTCTCCCCAAAGCAAGAAATGCTTCCATATCATTGCAAGGTGGGTGAGGCCACTGTGTTTGTGCTCTTCCCTGGTAAAAATAAGTAACATTCACTAGTGGATGCACAGGGAAGAGACAGAGGAACTGTGCCAGCAGGCATCAAACTTTCTCAGTGTATTTCTCTGTTCTCCAATTCAGGACCTTCTTGAGCAAAAAGTGTTGCCTTGGCAGTTAATATCTCTTGCTTATTTTTAACTTCTACACATTTGTCCAATCTCTTTCAGAATAAGTAATATTGAAATTTTGAGTAATGACATCTGCAATGTCTCCTGGCAAAGATTTTGACTGTTTCAATAAAGCTGTGTGGGAAAGGGTCTCTGGTATTAAGAAGCCAATTGTTAATTTAATTTGCTGACAGGTATGCTCAATAAATTTAGTAGAGAAAATTTAGGCCCCCAAACTGGAATTTGTCATACATGGAACATACAATATGTCTTAGAGGATAATTAAATGTTTTTCCCACACCCATAGCCCTAGCATTTAATGGCAGTCTGTTTCCCTAGAGCAAGAAGTAAAGCTACAGGTAGGTCTGTGTGCCTGCAGAATTGTTAACCATTGTGTGTCTGATTTTCAGAATAGGTATAGAGGGTGTTTTGTTGATCTGCTACTTAATTAGGCTGGAATGAATTAATATATTTAATAATTGCCATTATCTAATGCTCATCTGCTAATGTATTAACAAATACCTCATAAAATAGGAGTAGGGTTTAGGACTCTTGCAAAGGGCTACCTTTGTCTGTGGCAGAAGGTATGATGTTCAAGTGTTAGAAAGATAAATTACTTGTCAGTGGAACTGCCTTGCTGAGGTTTAGAGCTTGAAATGTTTCAATCATCTCAGCTCCAGAGGGACGTTTACAGAGTTTGTGTGAAGGATGTACTAGTGATAGTGGAAACAAAGAATGCAGAATTTACAAGCCACAAGGACATTTGGCAGAACTCCCAGGATAAGGAAGAAGCTAACAAAACCAACTCAGTAACTGTGCTGAAGTCAGCCCCAAGTAGGTAGAAGGTAATTCTGCCAAGGGGAGATTGTGACCACCAGCTCATGAAATTCATCAACTCAAAAGAGGAGAGACTGAGCACATAGACTTTGTATTTGTAGTAGATAGAATACTAATTAATCAGAGAACTATGTTGTAGCTGATGAATATTAATGTCCTTGCTTACTAAAATGTATGAATAGCTGTAGTTTTTGATAGTCACTGTGACAGCCTAGTGGATTTGACACCCAACACTCCTTTCTGTGCAGAATTGTAGGAAAATCAAATACCTCTCTGTGGAGATAGGCTTCTTGCGCACAAGGTAGAAGAACCCATTTTGGGAAAACAGACACATTTTCAGCAGCTTTATTCCCTTAGTACCTCCACTGTAAATTGATTTTCAAAATATTTGGCTGCTTTTCCTGTATGTGTTATTTCCTTAAAATATTTAACATCATCACAACAGCACACATAATGCCAGCTTCTTAAGGGAAAATTCAAAGGTGTCTGGAAAACAATGCATTAACTTGGACTGAAGTGTATAGTGTGTAAGAAGAAACGTAATTCCTTTTAATGGTCACATTTAACTGAAATGTTAAGTTTCACCGCTGAAAACTACAAACCCTAATGTTTGGGTGACGTATGTCCTTCAGAAGAACCCTCGGCCTTTCCTGAGGCATCGCAGGAGCGGTTTAGCCCTGCGGGCCGGGGCAGGCGGCAGCCGCACCGCCTCAGCGTGAGGGGCTTCCAGCCCGAAGGCCGCGGGGGCGGCGGCCGCTGAGGGCGGGGGAGCTCCTCCGGCGCCGGCGGAGCGCAGGGGAGGGGCCGCTCCTGAGGGGCGGCCCGCCCGCCGGCCGCGACATTCGAAAGTCGCTCGGCGGGCAGGGCTTCCTCTTCGTCCTCCGCCTCTTCCTCCTCGTCTATCTTCTCCCTGCTACGCCGGGGGTCAGGGCAGGCCTGTGACGAGCCGCGGCGCCGCTTCTCGGGGCAAGTACGAGCCTTGGCCGGTAAGGGCTTGCAGAGGGTAAATACGAGTGCTGACCCTGCTCGGTGTCACTCTCTTCAGCGATGGCAGAGTGGGACTCCGCCGAAATGTCCTCCTTCAGTCTGAGCGGCGTGAGAGAGCGGATGCGGGAGAAGAAAAAGGGTGCCTTGAGGACTGCGAAGCTGAACGCCTCGCTTGCATCAAAAATTAAAACGAAGATCATCAGTAAGTGTATTTTGCGTTGCGGTGTGTACATATGGTGCCCAGCTTCTCACTGGGCCTTTGGCCGTGGCATCGGGAGTGGGCAGCGGTCCTTCGTGTGCTGCTTCTCAACTGCTTCTCTGCCCGGGGGCTTCGAGTGAATTCAGTGCCCTGCAGATCAGTGTCGTGTCACTCAAGATGCCCTAAGGTGTCTGAAAGTACTTTAGTGTACGCAATCCTCTGCAGAAGCTAGGCCAACAGACTTGTTTTTATGGGGGAAGTAATGCAAAGATGAAACAGGAGATAATTTGGATTACCTTGAAAAACTCAGGTATTTCCATTACTTTTATTTAGTTCTTTTGAAATTGGGAACCTGGGGTCCAAATCTACTCAAGAGCAATTATAGAGGAAAATAGGTATTTCTCCCATTTTTTGGATGTGATGAGGACTTACCTGTAGGTGACTTGTTCGAAGCAAGGAGAATATATTTTTAAGCTCAGCATTTGAACCATGCTGTCACTCATTACAAATTGGAGCAGTAGCTTGCTGCCTGAGCATGACCCACTGAGGGTGGAGAGGGTATCTGAAGTGTTGCATGTTATTATGGAAATTTTTTTTCTCCTGTTTTCTCTGGAGACTAGGAAGGAACAAAGGAGAATGTAACCCCATCCCTCCAAATTATTATAATTTTGAAATGAAGGGGCTCTCAGGCAAAGATATGGGAATAGGAATAACAGTTCTTTACTAGGAAAATTAAAATACAAATGCAGTAGTACAAAAAAACCCCACTGACAGAGTCACAATACAACCTGACACCCTGTTGGTCAGGATGTTGGTAGCAGTCTGATTAAATGGTGGCTGGCTGCACTCCTCCTGGAGTGACAGGTGTGGTTCTGTTGAAGCAATGATCTTGTAGAAGAGTGTAGTTTTCCTCTGAAGGTCCAGTGGTGGTGTAGTTGGGTCTGGTCCTTTGGGAATCCAGTGGAGAAAGGCTGCCTGTGATGTTCCAAAGCTCAGATTATATCCAGGTAGGAATGTTTGGCTCCTCCAGTCCTGCAGTGAGACTCAATGGCCCACTAACAGAAGAGACCCTCCTGGAGTTACGAGGGATAGGTCATGGA